AGTCCCTTGTCTGGGAGATCCAATTGCCCCAGTGGCTGAAAGATCAAGGAAATAATTACCAGCGTGAGAATCAGTTATTTGGAGAATTTATTTATTTTATTCGATTTAGGTGCCAACTGACTCTTGACTAACTCTGGGTGGCTTATAGCATAAACAAGACAAAATAAAAATACAGTATAAAACAGAAGAGATAAAGAACAAGATGGTGAATCTGGCCAACAACACCAAACACATACAAACATATCCAAGAAGGGACCCCAACCACCTCAGCCCAGTGAGGTCTGTCATCAGGGTGGGAGCCACACGGATCTCAAGAGGAACTTCATTCCTGAGGGCAGGAGCATAACAGATAAGGCACACTTCCTGGTTCTGATAGATGACAGTATTAATTGAAGGAACCCAGAGTGTGCCAATCCTGTCAGCTCTTACTAGTAAGGCAGACACCACAGGAGATAGGCAATCCCTCAAGTAACCAGGCCCTATCCCATGTAGGACTTTACAGGTCATAACCAGCATCTTGAATCACACTCAGAAGCACATTGGTAACCAATGCACCTCACAAAGCAGGGGTGTTACATAGGTATATCAAGGCATGCCCATCACTGCCCGCACTGCTGCATTCTGGACCGGTGGAAGCTTCTGAGTAATCTTCCAGGGCAGCCCCATGTAGCGTGCAGTGCAACATTCAAGCGATGAAGTGACTAGGGCATGCATAGTGACTGTCTGAAGGGCCTCTCAATACAGGAAAGGAAGGAATTGCGCAAAGGCCTTCCCGACTATAGATGTCAACTGCTCATTGAGCAGAGCTGAGTTCAGCAAGATCTCCAAATTGTGCAGTACTTTTGAAAGGTTAAAGATGGAATATTCTTAAATCTAGGTGGCTCTAATATCCACAGCCCCTCAGTCTTGATAGTACTGAGTCAGAGTTGGTTCTTCCCCATCCAGGCCTGTACAATCTCCAAGCACTGGAAAAGAACCTTGACAGCCTCTCTTGGCCAGTGCGGGGTCAAAAGATATAACTGGATATAATTATCATATTGCTGATACCAAACTCCAAACCAGTAAATGACCTCACCCAGGGGTTTCATGTAGATGTTGAACAGGAAGGGACATAGCACTGAGCCCTGTGGCATCCCACAAAAGAGGGGCCTAGGGAGCTATCTCTCCCCCGCAGCCAACACCAACTGGAATTGGCCCTAAAGGAAGAGAATGGTGCCCCCAATTCCCAAAACTGGTCTAGAAGGATACCATGGTATTGAAAGTCACTGAGAGATCAAGAAGCACAAGAATGGATGCAACACCTCCATCCTGGCTCCAACACATGTCATCTATAAGTGTGACTAAGGCTGACTCTGTACTAAATCCTGGTCTGAAATCCAACTGAAACAGGCCTAGATAATCCACTTCCTCCAGGGTCCTCTGCAACTGCTGTTCAACCACCTTCTCTAAAAAGATTGGAAACAGGATGATTATCTAAAAGTGTTGGCTCCAGGAATGGCTTCTTGAAGACGGGGCCCACCATCATCTCCTTCAAGGCTGAAGGTACCACCCCCTCCCTCAAAGACCATGCAGGTCATCTTTCTGGCTGCGTTAACAACCCAGAAGGGGTCTGGCTCCAACAAACAGGTGGCTGAACAGCACAGAGAACCCTGTCTACTTCCTCAAGAATCACTGACTCAAACTCATTCCAGCTGCAACCTCAAGACCAGCCAAGGTCCAACTCAGTGTGGATCTGAGCAACTTATATTTCATTTTCAGGATCAATCCGTTCTGAAATGCTAAATGAGTTTGCCCAAAATAATGAGTGCCAGTCTAGGGAACATTTAAGAGTTCAAGTCAACTCAGTCTGAATTCAGAGGCTGCTTAAAATCATGTGTTTAAGACAATAGCACTATGCCTGAGTATGCAAACATCATCATCTTACCTTTTTTAAAGAACAGATACTCTTCTCTGCCCACTGAAGACCAGATCTCATACTTAGGTTCTTAGCTCGCTGTTGAATTAATTGATGCTGAGCACAAATATATGCCATTTGCAACCTAGTCAGTTCTAATCTTTCATCACATATATCATTGCTTCCTTCACAACTGCAGGGCTTACTTATATGTACAAGTTGAAAATTTTCTTCATTAGAACTTTCCACCAATTCAGATATACCCTGGAAAAACTGTTTTTTTGTATATGAAGTGAGAGCTCCAGTGCTTTGTTCTTCTTGATACAAATAATTATCTAAAGCAAGTTGGGTTAGCAGCACAGGATGAGGATCCAGTTCTTGTCCAGCTGCAACAGCAAAAAAAGAAGCAAGCTTCTTAACTCCTTCAGTAAGAATCTGAAGCTCATTGTTTATTTTTATATTCATGGCCATGAAGTTCCCTTGACCCTCTTTCAGGATTTTAGGTTCTTCCTCGCCCCTTTCTTTAATCTTTAAGGAAACAAAGCTATTAGCCGAGGCCATGATTTGAAGCTTGTTACGTCGATGAATCTTTAGCTGTTTAATCTTTTGAAGAGTTTGAAATTCATCTTCTAACATTTTAAGATTTTCCTCTTCTTCTTCATCATTATTAGTGTTCAAATCAAAAGGCTTAGAAATCTTGAGAACTTCATCAAGAGCCTCTTCTCCTAAAATAGGTTTTGATGATTTTAGGAGAGCATTAAATGACTGCAACTCTTCTTTGGATAATACATGACGTTCGTTCAAAGCTGTACAAAACCACTCCAGAAATGATTTATCTTCCAGAGTTTCAAATAACCAGTCAAAGTCTTCTCCATTAAGTGAATCTGCCTTTAAATATCCTGTTCGCTTTAGAGTTTCAATAAACCTAGCTCCACCATCCATAATTCTGACTTCAAGTGTCGATGCTGGATATTGTAGCTGCTTGCTACCAGGCTTTCAATTATAGTAAACAAAAGTATGGGATAATGACGAGATTAGTTTTACAAAGTTCTGTATTCTATCAATTTATTTAGAAAACCATTGCATGGTTTTAAACCAATTAGAATTTTGCATATCGATAACAATGCATTTCAACAGTCAGTAGCAAAATAAAACAGAAATTAAACTGAGTGAGCTAAAAAAGCCCCTACTGACTCTTTCTAGGAAGCAAGTAAATTGCTTTAAACTTCCAAAAAAAAGCTAAATTCCTTTCTACTCATTTCCTATTCAAGTCCCTTTTCTTTGGAAATTAACAGAGCTATTACTTCGTATTAATCCCCAGTGTCCTTTCCTAGGTTTATTAGCTAGTGATCACAGGGATCCACCCGCGTACGATTCAAATGCAAGAGACCTGTAGGGCTGAAGAGCATCCGCACACCTACAAACCCCAAACCATCGCGCGCCAGCCGCGGGAAAGAGAAACTGCCCTGCTTTGGCGGGCGGGAGCCGGGAGGGATTCGAACTTCCGCCTTCTCGCGATAACCAGCTACAGAGTCTCGCGAGAGCCAGCCAAGTTCTCCCGAGTTCATAGAGATTTAATTAAAGCGTTTGAACGCTGACCTTTAGGCTGTTTAAGATCTCAGAGTGATAGGGCTTAACACGAAGAATAATTTAAAAAAGGATAGCATATTTCAGAGGTAAATGGCTACAGCAAGATTGAAAGTGGAGCCATCAGAATCTGCAGCTTGTAACTTCTGGGAACTGCCTTTCCCATTACGTCCAATACTCCCAAGAGCCGGGAGCCTGTTCCTCTCTTAGTCTAAAACCGTGTTTTTCAAACTTGGCAACTCCCAGAATTCCTCAGCCAGCATGGGAGTTGAAGTCCACACATCTTAAAGTTGCCAAGTTTGGAAAACACTGATCTAAAAGTTATATGGAAAATAATCGACTGTTTCATTTCTTGCATAATATTCTCACACGACAAACAGAATCAAAGGTCATTGAAGTCTTTTGCTCAAGATTTTTGTAAGCAGTTCCCTCTGTCTATATGAGAGAGAGAAAGTGCCTTTGCTTATATCAGTGTTGTCTCCCACCTGGGCGACCCTCCTATTTTTTATGTGTATTTCTCTCAAAACTACATCGTCCCGCCCACCTCACCACGCAGGTGGTG